GGCCAAGTGCAAGGTCCTACACCTGGGTCGGGGTAATGCCCGCTATCAATAGAGGCTGGGGGGTGAAAGGATCGAGAGCAGCCCTGCTGAGAGGGACTTGAGGGTACTGATAGACGAAAGGCTGGACATGAGCCGGCAATGTGCGCTGGCAGCCCAGAGGGCCAGCCGTGTCCTGGGCTGTATCAGGAGAAGCGTGGCCAGCAGGTCGAGAGAGGTGATTCTGCCCCTCTACTCTGCTCTGGTGAGACCTCACCTGGAGTACTGCGTTCAGCTCTGGAGCCCTCAGCACAAGAAGGACATGGAACTGTTGGAGCGGGTCCAAAGGAGGGCTACAAAAATGATCCGAGGGCTGGAGCACCTCTCCTATGAGGACAGGCTGAGAGAGTTGGGCTTGTTCAGCCTGGAGAAGAGAAGGCTGCGGGGAGACCTGATTGCAGCCTTTCAGTACTTAAAGGGAGCCAACAGGAAAGATGGGGACAATCTTTTTAGCAGAGACAGCAGTGACAGAACAAGGGGTAATGGTTTTAAACTAAAACAGGGTAGGTTTAGGCTGGATATAAGGAAGAAATTCTTTACAATGAGGGTGGTGAAACACTGGAAGGGGTTGCCCAGAGAGGTAGTGGAGGCCCCATCCCTGGAAACATTCAAGCCCAGGTTGGACAGGGCTCTGAGCAACCTGATCTCGTTAGCGGTGTCCCTGCTCGCTGTGGGGGGGTTGGACTAGATGACCTCTGGGGGTCCCTTCCGACCCAAAACTTTCTATGATTCTATGATTCTAAACACGAGTTACATCGAGGACTTTCAAAGTATTCAGAGTTATCAATTCCTACAGCGTTAGTCCAAGTACCCAGAATTTCTGCAGAAAACAGAAGTTGCCTTTGTGCAGGCACTGAAATGTGGCAGCTACAGTTGCGCATGTACTGTAAAGCAGTGCGAGACAGGTTTCAGAATGGTCTGCTTGCCTGTGATGGTCATCCTGAATTGCCGATCTCAAGGGTGCCCTGGCAGAAGAGAAGTGTATCACATCTTAACTAGTGGAATAATTTAACCAGGGTGGCTGTAAATTTTTCATAACCGCAAGACTTCAAATCAAATCCGATTTTCTTCTGAAAAGACGTGCTAGCCCTAGCTTGGGATTTGATGCAGAAGTCGATGAAAAACCTCCATGGCCCGTCTTGTATAGATGTAGGACTCCGTAGTTCCGTCAGTCTTTGAAAACTCTGGGATGCTGAAAGCGTAGATCCAAAGATTCCTCCTTTTCCTTCTGATCCGGCAGAGGAGAAACTGAGATTCTGTCGAAAAACAAGCACTTGGGTTGGTTTGCTTAGATGTATGTTACATGTTTTAAAAAAAGAAGTCAGAACAAACCAATATTGCATCAGTATGCATTTTAGGGAAGTCAGAGAAAGTCCATTGAAACAAAAAAATGAGGAGATTCACATGTTGTACTGGTAGTCTGCTGGTAAGTAGTGTCGAGTGTGTGCCTTGCAGTGAATGCCCGCTTGTTCTTGTGCAGATTTGCCTTTCAGTCAGCCTATTTTCAAAGTGTATTTCAAAGCATTCCTTAAAAGCATCTTGAAAATAAATGTTTAAAATACAGAAAAAGCTTGTGTGAATTTTAATTAGCTTTGTAACCCTACAAACAGGTTTGGATGTTTCCAAAAGCCAAGTGGCCTTCCTATTCTTTCTCTCTGGGTCTTAAAGTCAGCATTTGGAATCCCGTTAGGTTTTCCTGTAAATGTCTGTTTGTGTTTGTGTGTTTCTGTGCAATGTGGTGCAAAGCACGGTGAGATAACAGTGAACTCCATTTAACCTCTTGACAGTCGTTTGTAAGTATTTGGAAAATGAATTTGTTGTAAGAGCTCTAAGAATTCTTAGTTTATTTTCTAAAGCATCAGCTTTGCCTTTGATTGTATTTACTGTGTTAAAAATTGGTACTAAATGAAGGTTTCAGACCAGTAACGCTTACTGTCCTGCTGCTGCCTGGTTTAATTACATGCTGAGCGTGCTCAGGTTTTTATTTCCTAGTTATAATCCTGTTCTGTGAAGTGTTGGTATTTATGCTTGTCTGACAGAGGTTCAATATATGTACATTTTAGGTGGAAGAAAAAGACAAGCAAGTGTCAGCTGTACCCGTGACTGGGAGATGAAATGAATGGTGGAAGTGAAACTGTCATTTGCAGAACTTTCTGAGAGACAGAACCGTTATCATTTGATTGAATAAAGCATATTCATATGCCTTTGCATATTTGATTTCCTAATCAATGGCTGAATTATTACTTGTATTCTATGCAGAAGCTGGAGCCTTCCCTAGAGAACTTGGGTAATTCTGTCACAGAAGCTAGGAACTGCATTGAAAGAAAGGGGGATTTTGTGAATTAGACAGAATTGCTTTCATAAGTGGTCACAATAAGACTTTACACCCTTGCTAAACAATGGAAATCAAGGGGAAAAGGAAAAGGTGATTAATTTGACATCATTAATGATTTTAACCTTGGAGAGCATGAGTTTATGGGTCAGAAAACATAGTAGCAAAACGTAAAATAGGAAATAGCAGAAAGTCAGTTTAAGAAGTTGGAAAGAAAGGCATACAAAAAAGTTAAAATAGACGTACAGCAAGTGTATGTGTTGGGCATAACGCAGCCCACAGCAAACATGCACAGAAATTCATCAGAGCACAGAGTCTGGCGCAGGTGAAGGACAGCTCCAACAGCCACATGGCAAGAACAGCTTTGGCTGCATGGTGATAGTGTTGAAAAGATTTTCATAAATGATGTAGCTGCATCGTTTAACTCACGGTTGCTGTCACTAATATGTCTTTTTTGTTCTCCCCTTAGCTAACAATGCCAGCCTTTCCTGTTGTTGTGAAGATTGGACATGCTCATTCCGGCATGGGAAAGGTGCAGATGCTACTCGTTGCATGCTAAGAGGCCGGGTGTTTGTCTAAAACAATGTGCATGTTCTTTTGTCTCTTGGGTATTTTAACTTTTCGCTGTCCAGATTCTGTCTCAGATCCCTACCTTTGCGAATCTCTCCTTGTATATTATTCAAGAAAGCACCTTTCTTTGAGAAAATACTAAAATGCACAGTATGTTTTCCCATTGATGCTTTTTAACTTTGTGCGTTGTCTTAAATAGGACATTCTTTGAAACGTGCTGAGGTGCTTTCTTGAAGCAGAACCTCATTTATTAACTTAATTGACTGCAGTGAAACTATTGAAGAGTCAAGTTCTGTCTGCACAGCCCAACTTTTTGGACCTGGGAATATGGGAAGGCTTTGCCTTGGTTCTTTATTAGTTTCCACTCGGTACCGAGCGTTTCTTCCTTTCCTGCCTTAATGTGTTCTCTGTGATTGTTTCATACCACGGTATAACTGCTGCTCTCTTTCTCCAAAGTAACTGCATTTCAGTGGTGAGTACAGTTGTTTTGATAGCACTTATCTCACAATGACGGTTCAATGGGATATGACTTAAATCCCCCTTTCATGGCTATCAGTGAGAATTTCTAGTCCTTACAGGTTAACCTCTTTCTCTCACTGAGAACACTTGAAGTGTTTTAGATTTTAAAACAAATCATCAGACAATAGTTACTCCAGAAGCTCCGTGAACATAATATTTGCCACTAGCAATAGAAATAGACAACTGATTTAATTGTATTTTAGTCTGTAATTATGCAGGTTGTACTGTATGTTATGTTCTTTTGCCTATGACCGTTTTGCTTTATTTCGTGCTTTGTAAGTCAGTGGAAATCCGGCAGCCAGTGTGATTGAGAGCAGAATTAACCACTAATTACTGAAACTGCAGTTTCTGTGGATTGCATATGTGAAGTATTAGAATGTTTATACTGCACTTTTAATATTCACCTCATTTATAAAGAAAAATAATGCACAGAAATGTTCAGCATATCAAATGTCTAGAAATAAATGTAGGTTTTTTTAGCTATAAAATATTTTAAATCCTCAAAGATTAAATGCCAGTTCTTTTAAAGGGAAATGTTTACTGTCAGAGTCCAAGCACAGGTGGTCCATGTACACCAGTCCTCCCTAAAGGCATTGCCAGGAGCAGCGTTTCCATTGGTCGTGATTAGACTCACATGTGCCATTAAGCTTTCAGAAACTAAGCTGAAACCAGGGATTGTGTCTGGTTTTGTAGCCCTCAAATGGTGGATTACTCCGTATTGTTCTCCATCTGAGAGCTGAGAGCAAATCCTTAGGCCTTATGGCTTCTTGTAGCTTCACCAGACCCCATTTAACATGCAGGTCCCGCCTCACAGCGGTGGCACTTGGGCCCACGGGTTCCCTTTTCAGGATGGGTTCCCCATCACCGTCCAGGTGATGATGGAAGCAAACAAGACGCTGGGCTTGCAAAGAGCTGCAAACTCTGCTAATATCAGATAACATGAGAAATACTAATCCGTGCCTCCTTTCCTCACCTGTCTGAAATGTACTTTGGGTCAGGGTGTTGTTGCAGTTCCAGCTTACCTCTCCCATTTTCTACCAGCCCTGACTAAGATTTCTCTTCCGAGTTGCTTTTTCTCCCCACTTCAGTCAGCTTCCTTGAAGTCTGCCGCAGAGATGTGCCCTCCCTGTCCAAACCTGATGCCTCTGTCCTCCATCTGGCCTCTACAGCCTGCTTCTCCCTCTCCCCCTAAATCAATATGCCCCGCTTTTCCACCACCGTCTGATTTCAGGATGTTAAAGTTGATGGGTTTAGCACCATCCACCGTCTTAGCACAGGGTTCCACAACTAGGAAACCCTCGCGCTAGAAAGCCTGACTCCTTGCAGAGAAGTGGGGAAAATGAGAAAATCTGGGTCTGCTGTCTTGAGCCAACCCTCTGTGCTGCATGTGAATGCGCACTCGTCAAGATGCCGTGACCCTGCATCTCTTCCCTCCTAGGAGACACATGAGGTGATAGCGCATGGTGGACTCCACCTACATTCAGTTACACGAGCAACATACAGAATCAACAAGAATTCTACATAAATCAGTGTTGCATACTGTTACACCTTGAAAAAATTTTAAAGCCTGTACATCTAAAATTAAGAATCACCACCTGAAAAAAAAAAAAAAAAGGCAAAATAAAATTCCACTGTCTGGAAATTGCTTTCTACAGATGAACAGGTAATATTTTGCCTAGAAAAACAGGTACTTTAATGCAGGAATGTTACAGAATCTAAAAATCAGATAAAGTATCCAATACTTTTTTTTGTAAACTGATGCTGTCAAAGAACATACTTGTCATGAAAGCCATTTGCAACTGAATGCTACTCTTCATTCAAGTTCTAACTGCTCTTTTTTGTTTTGTCTATGCTGTTTACTTGTGGTATGATGACTGCAGATCAAGGTAGACAACCACTACGATTTTCAGGACATAGCCAGCGTGGTAGCACTTACTCAGACCTACGCCACTACTGAACCCTTCATAGACTCCAAATATGACATCAGGATCCAAAAGATAGGCAGTAACTACAAAGCATACATGTGAGCCAAAAACTTATATTCTTTCATCCTTTTATTTCAAAACTGATGAGCAGCAACAAGATTAAGAGTGTTGGATGAATTTCTGAGCTGATGTCGTGACTCCATCCCTCCATTGTCATACTCTCTGGAAAGACAGTATTTTAGACTTTTTAGATTTATCAAGACTTTTTTTTAAGTTGGTTCGGGCTGGGAGGGTGAGAACAAGACAGCAGGTGAGCCTGCCAGAGTGGATTTCCTGATAACTTTTGTTTATTTTTTCATTTAAAGACAGGAGCAGTTGGAAGGGAATTAATTTTTCTAGAAGTTGTGTTAAATCAGATTTCTTTGTATCTTTTCACCAGCTGAGGGTCAAATTTTCTTCTCCCTCTAAGAATATTTAGCTGGCATTCATTCACACAAACTTGAATCGTAACACTTCAGTGGTGCAAAGTACTCTCCTTTGAACACACGTAAGAAAAATTCTAATCTTGCAATGGCCTTGACATACGTGGATGAAAATCTCTTCTAATTTTAGAATCCAAGTATTTGTTTAAAGATCACGACTACACGAGAGTGTTTCGGTTTCACAGACAACATTAAGCTAGAGCAGCAAAACAGGTTGCCATGTAGTAGTTGAGCTGTGGTAACTATGTATGCATATTTTTACTCTATTTGAATTATCAAGCAATGTAATCTGACATACATTCGTTTCATTCACGTTTTTAAGACAGATTAGATCATCTCATGTGTTTGTTCCCTCACGCTTACAATTCTGAGGCCAGAAAAATATAGCAAAACACGGATTAAAATACACATATGCATTTCCATATGCACACCCACATACATGTGCAAAGGTATTTCTCTAGGAACTCCTGTAACGTTGGAGGGATCAGAGAATTCTTGTACGTTGACATTTTTAAGATACAGTCAAGTTCCTTATCAGTAAAAATAATTGAACTCCAAGCAAACCATAAATACTAAGAGAAGCGTAAGTTGGAGCTGGGTTAAAGAAAATGCATAAAATGTCTTATAATATAAAAGACAGAGTTAGCAGCAAGTGTCACATAATTTAGAAACAGCCAACGAGCTCTAAGGGAAAGTAGGGGAGGGGGCAGAACAGATCTCCTTAGGTTGATATTGGAAGACCACGTACTCTTGACATCTCCCCTGAGACATTAATGTCGTAAGATCAAAACTGTAGGAGTAACTGCTGGCCGCTCCTGACAGATGACTTGAAGGGTCACGGGAGAAAGGACAACAAAGATTCGGCCTTTCAAGAGCAACTCACTAGTCCATCTATCTCTCCCTGTACATCTGAGGGGCCTCAAGAAAGCACAGCCCAGCACTGGATGGCAGTACCATTCCCCTAGGTCAGATCCACCCAGCAGTGTGGGCACTCAATCCTTCTGCTTTATTTTGAACCCAGAGCCATCTCAATTTTGGCAAAACAGTGTGTTGGAAATCTAAGTTGTACACGGTGACCTAGGCAGAACAGTCAAATAGCCTGCGAGGTTTCTGGAGTCCTTTGTCAGTGACTTTCAATGTTCTTACCAATGCAGGACAGAAACTCTGTGATTCGAATTCCCCACAAAATTTTAGGTGTGTTGGGTCTACTCCACCTCTCCCTGTAGGCAAGAAGAATCATAAACAAATGCTCCTGATTGATACAGCTTTTTGCTCCTGGCTTTTCCAGAAAAGTTAATTCCAATTTTGCTTGTTTTGTCTTACATTGGTGTTCCAAACTGTTGACTTTTTCTGGCTTTAGCCCTGTCTCTGGAGTTACCCGACCTGCTTTCTCTAATAGCACCATACTCCTACACCCCAAGGTCACCGCT